CATCCATTCATGTAGGAGTATTAAGCCTTTTTATACGTATATATCTTATATAAGGAAAATTGAAATGGGGCCCCGGCCCCAGAAGTATGGATATTATGAGTTCAGTTCCCTTCGGTATTTGAATATGGTATCTATTACTGACACTGGCAATGCTCCTGTTATAAGTACTGAATGGGTAGATGGGGATGATCTTGGGTAGATGGGGATGATCTTGGGTAGATGGGGATGATCTTGGGTAGATGGGGATGATCTTGACTTGTCTGGTAGATCAGTTCCGCAAGATAAATATGACAAATCAGCTACTATGCCCATTGTTACGAAAGAGCAACACCTGGCTACTACCTGTAATGATGATAGCAGCTATAAACTATGCTTCAATTGTTAGTTATACTGACACTAATCATATTTCTACTTCCACAAACCATGATATTTAATCTTTAACAACATTTTAATTGATTCAGCATTATAAAATTTAATTGTAAAAACGTTTTTTGTTCATTAACAAGCTAAAGATGCAATAAAATGTTTTTCCTAAAATTTTGTGTCATTAAATTAGATCAGCACAAAGTCACATGTATTTATATATTTATTTATATTAAAATCCATTGGGGGGGGGGGTTATATTAATGTTGAAATATATACTTTGAGGGGGGCACTGAAAGTTTGACAGTCAATGACAATTTGGGGGGGGGGGAGGGGCTAAAAATTGCTTAGAAATTGTTGACGTAATTAATGGACGCCCACAATACTAAATTAAATTATTTTCTAAAATGCATTCTTGTATTTTGAGTTTATCAAAAAGTTTCTGGGGACTATAAAGATTTAATAGGCGATATTATGCTAGGGAAAATGCATACCCGCAAGGGCACCACAGCTGAAATGAATTTAGTTCACATCCCACTGGTACGGCTTCCTCTCTTTCTTTTTCCATGTGGATTTCATGTCAGGTATTTCTGGTGATAATATCTTGGGGTTTATGGAGAATGTGCCCTACCCATATCCATCTTTTACTTATGATGTCTTCAGCAATAGACTTCTGGTATTTCCTATCTAGTTAGTCTATATTGGTGATGGTGTTTGGCCATTTGATGTTCAGGATCTTTCTAAGGTAACAGTTAATAAAAGTCTGTCCGTTCTGCTTGCTGTTGTTCTCCAAGTTTCGGCTCCATATAGCATAACTGTTTTGACATTTGTGTTGAAAATTCTGACTTTGGTTTGGAGGGTTAGTTTTTTTACTCTCAATTTTCTTTAATCGCAAAAATGCTAACCTAGCCTTTCCAATTTCCAATGCTTCGGATCAACCATTTAAGTCAATGGTGTTGCCTAAGTATGTGAAGGACTCCACTTCTTCCAGTGCAATTCCTACCAGAGAGATTTGCTCATGGTTGGCTGAGTTTACGTTTATGATCTTTGCCTTGCCTTTATTTATATATTTAAAAGAAATATTAATCGGCGCCCTCGATTTCTAACCTAGATCCCGATGAAAATAATAGATAATTTTGGGGACGTGAGATACTTCCTTGACATTTTTAGAACTGTGGGATCTCGATCCTTGTAAGTTCCCAATCCCGCCGGGATCCCGTTTTCCGATGTGATCCCAATTCTTGTTGGCCCCCAGCCCAAAACGGAATGTTATAAAAATTTAAACCCACCAAGAGTTCCTTACGGATAATGATGGATAATGATCTGCCAACTTTGGTCAAGATCCATTGATGCGTGTAAAAACCTATGTGGAACAAAAAAAAAAATTCACACATTTCCACTTATATATATATATATATATATATTTCCACTTATATATATATATATATATTTCCACTTATATATATATATTTCCATTTATATATATATATATATATATATATATTTTTCTTTATATATATATATATATTTTTTTTTTTATATATATATATATATATATATATATATATATATTAAAAACAACAACTTCTGCTGTAGTTTAATAAACATGAAAATTAAGCGCCTTATAAAAAAAAAAAAAAATTACAAAACCCGATCCTGGAGGGATCCCAAATGAATCCCATTTTCCGATGAGAGTCTGGTAGCCGGAGGGATCACGACCCGATTTGGATTCTGATCCAAGCTGGATCCCAAACACAGTGGGATCCCGATACAGGTGCATACCGATACCAGTGGCATCCCAATACTGGTGGATTTCCGATCCCGTCGGTATTCCAATCCCTGTGGGCTCCCGATCCCGTCAGTTTCCCGATGTCGATGGGATCCATATTTTTGTTTTTCAAATTTGCAGCATTCTAAACTTGGAGAGGTTAAATAGACACCAACAATTTGTGTCCCATGTAACATTATAAGGTAAATTTTAATAATAATTTTACAGAATACAAAAGTATACGTTTCGGCACATGCCTTCATCAGTACAACAAAAAGACAAATTAGTATAAAGTAAATTTACATAATATATATGTATGGCATCTTTCCGTCTGCGGGAGACGATAGATTATCTTTATTGCTTGCAGCTCTTAGTGTGGCTGGTGAGACCAATCCTCGAATGGCAGTCTCTGTTACATTTCCCACACACGAATGCGGTGGAGCAGTATTTACCGGCCTTCCTCCTCGCTCTTTTTGCAGCTGTTTCCGCCCTGTTTTGATCCTCGGCATGTAGTGATCTTGCCTTCACGATGCCCCGCCACGAGGATCGATCCTCTGCCAGCTCTTCCCAGTTTGAGATGTCGATGTTGGCCGACTTCATGTCTCTTTTGCATATGTCTAAGTATCTCAGACGAGGCCTCCAACTGACCTTTTCCCTGTCGCCAGCTCGCTGTATAGCACGTCCTTTGGTATGCGACCAGGTTGCATTCGCTTGACGTGTCCAAGCCAGTGGAGGCGTCTTTGGATTAACATGGCTGGGACGCTACACATGTTTGTTTGGGACAGGACATCCGTGTTGGGGGACTTTGTCTTGCCATCTAATCTCAAGGATGTGGCGCAGGAATCTGAGGTGGAAGCCATTGAGCCTTCTTTCGTGTTTAGAGTATGTGGTCCACGACTCGCATCCATACAGAATAAGTGTGCTCAGTACGCAGGCCTGGTACACTTGCAGCTTAGTTCTTGTTGTGAGTTTGGCGTTTGACCAGACTCTTTTCTTCAGTCTGGCCATAACAGTTGCGGCCTTCCCTATCCTCCCACTTATCTCATCCTCCATTGAGAGGGTGCTCGATATGTTGGATCCCAGATATGTGAATCTGTCAACAGTATCCAAGTCGTAGTCGTCGATGGCGATAGTGGGGAGGGAGTCAGCGCCCTGTGCCATAATGTTAGTTTTCTTTAGGCTAATTGTCAGGCCAAACTCTTTGCAGGCAGCGGATAGGCTGGATACGAGGCTCTGCAGGCCGTCAGCTGTGTGAGATACCAAAGCGGCATCGTCCGCAAACAAGAACTCCCGCAGCAAGACCTTTCTTGTTTTAGTCTTAGCTCTAAGGCGGGCAATGTTGAATAATTTGCCGTCATCTCTAGTGTGGATGTATATCCCCTCGCTGTTGTTCTGAAAGGCATACTGGAGTAGGATGGAGAAAAAGATTGCAAATAAAGTAGGAGCCAGCACGCAACCTTGCTTTACTCCACTACTCACTGGAAAAGCTTCTGAGGCGGCACCGTTATAGCACACTGTGCCCTGCATGTTTTCGTGGAACTGCTTGATGATGTTAAGCAGTCGTGTAGGGCAGCCTATCTTTTTGAGGAACTGAAACAGGCCGCTTCTGCTGACAAGATCAAAAGCCTTAGTGAGGTCGACAAGCGCAATGTATAAAGGCATATGTTGCTCCCTACATTTCTCCTGCAGCTGGCGCAGAGAGAAGATCATGTCTATGGTTGACCTACCGGCGCGAAAACCACATTGCGATTCTGGGAGTACACGCGATGCTAGGGTCTGTAGGCGTGTTAATGCAACTCGGGCGAAAGCCTTAGGAAAAAGACATGGTAGCTGGGTAAAATGTGGATTTTGTCTATGCCATATGGAGACAACGGTTCCATGACAAAACGACAAGGTGACAAAACGAAAAGTCTTCAACGCCAACGCCTCCACTGTCTTTAATGCCTTACATCGGTGTTTCCCAACGTGGGGCCCACGCCCCATAGGGGGGCAAATCGAAAATGAGTTATCTAGATTTTTAAAACCACCCCGCTAGTATGATTTAACTTGTATTTTAAAAGGAGAATCGCTAAAGTCTCAATTTAAAATAAGCGTTCGTTAAAAGTGTGGTAAAAATATGTTGATTTCAAAAGTAGTCAAGAGTCTAAGTTGACAAATAAATGGCTGCTTAAAATTTATAAAAAAGGAGAATCCAGAAATGCTACTTGTACATTGTGTTATTCATAGGGAAAACTTGGTAGCTAATAACATTTCGTCTGCTCTAAACGAATTACTAAGTTTAGTTCTAAAGTGTATCAAAGCTATTAAAGATAATGCCAAATGTGAACGTCTCTTTAAACAATTTTTTGAAAGACAAAATGGAAACTGTCTGAGACTTTTAATTCACACTGAAGTAAGATGGCTTTCAAAAGGGAATGGCTTGAAAAGATTTATGGAACTATTTGGTACTCTTTAACGTGTCAAACCTGAAATGAATTATCTGCTAACGGTTGATAGTAAAGCATTTGTGAGTTATTTAGCCAATATCTTTGAAATACTAAATTTATCAAATAAGCAACTTCAAGGAGCAATTAAAACTCTTGTCGATGCAAAAGTGAAGATACTTGGTTTCATTACCTGTATTGAATTATGTAAGAAATATATTTACAACACAAATTTTGAAAAGTTGCATTGGCTCCAAAAAATGTGAAGTGTCTTGTATTGCTATACTTGTTATTGTCGAGCATCTGAAAATTATATCGGCTGATAAGAAACATTTTCTGATTTGAAACAAATTGATTTTAAAACTTGGATGATACAGCCAATGTTAGTGGATTTCTCTGATACTTCAAATATGCAGTATGAAGAAGAACTCGCAGACATGCACAATGATGAGACAGTTAACACTTTATTAATTATGAAAGGAACGATGACATGGGTTTGTGGGGAAACAGAAATCAGATATCCAAATTCAACCAACTGTGCAAGAAAACTATAGTTACCGTTTCAATCTTCATATTTAGCTGAATGTGGATTTAGTGCCATATATGATTTGCTGCAAAAAAAGAAAAAAAGAAAAAAAGAACAAGAAATGGGCTGTGCATAACACAACGTGGAGACTTGAGACTGAAGCTAACTAAATTGAAACCTAACATAAAATCTCTAATCAGCAAGCATCAAGCACAAACATCTCACTAACGTTAAGCAATAAATAATTACCAATAATTAAAATAATACAGAAATATATATCATTACAATTATTTCGTAAATGAATGTCAGTTTTCCATATATGTCTTTAAATTTACTTGATATGATTCCTCACCAATTTCATATTGATTTCTTCCTAAAACCTATTATCAAAGCTCATAAAGGCACCAAAAGTTGCAACCGTAGCCGTTGCAACACATGTCCCTATGTGATTGAAGTTGATAGGATCACTTTCCCTCTGGAAATATTCAGAATAAAAGATGGCACAAGTCGCATTATGATAAGTTCTTCGAGGAGCTGGCTGGAATAGGACTTCAGTCTTTTGTGTGCTAATGGTGAGCCCGAAGTTTGTGCAGACATTAGAAAATTTTGTGACGCAGCATTGTATTTCCACTTCTGATACAGCATTTAGGGCACAGTCGTCTGCATACAGGAGGTCTTGACTGAGTTGCAAACCAATATCGACAAATGCAACGCCGCCAAGGCACAAGGCCCGGATAAGATCTGCAACGAAATGATAAAAAACCTTTGCTCGATAGCTTGGAGAGAGATATAAACCGATCTTGGGTAACAGGAATTCTACCAAGAGCTTGGCTTAGCGCTACCATTGTCTCCATTCCCAAAGGAGGGAAGAAACTCGATCAACCGACCGACTACCATCCGATTCCCCTCTCATCGTGTCTAAGGAAGATGGCCTTGAGAATGGTCCATCAGAGGCTTTACTGGTACCTGGAGAGTACCGAAAACCTCAGTCCAATTCAGGTTGACTTCCGCAAGAGAATTCAGCCGATAGATCAAGTGCTCCGTCTTCTCCAGTCCATAACAGATTGGCTCCCGAAGAAGTCTCATAAAGTGGCTGTATGCTTTGACCTCCGACATGCAGGCTTATGACCGGGTCTGGAGGTCCGGGTTATTGTTAAAGTTGCAAAATTTGGGAGTAACTGTCAAAATGTACAGATGGATTTCCGTTTTTTTACAAACTGGACAGAATTCTTCTCTTCCTAACCTATATCAATGACTTGCCACAAAATCTAGCTACAAATTGTGCGATGTATGCAGACGATTTGGTTTTCTGGAGCGCAGTTAAGATGTCCACCGCCTGCAACAGCTATTACAGCAGGACCTTTCCTCTATCAACAAGTTCATGCGGCGGTGGCATATGAATATTAGCAACGAGAAGACGGTCTGCTCACTTTTAACCAACAGGCGGACCATTCTCAAACCGGCGATCAAGCTCAAGGTGGGACGAGCAACCAGTTTCCTTGGGGGTTGAATAGGATCAACATTTGCAAATTAATCAGTTTGTACAAGACCTCTGCTTCCAAGCAACCTCGAAGCTAAATCTGGTTAAAAAACTGGCTTGCACAAGATGGGGCGCGGGAGCAAGTACGCTTAGAGCACTATGTCTAGGCTGTGGAAGGTCGGTGATGGACTACATCATGCCCATCCGGTCGTTTGCAAGCAAACTAACACTTATCCATACTTGTAATGCTTTTATATTGAACTATAATTTGAAAATAAATTGCGTATGTTTGATACTTAGTAATAACTATTATTAGAATTGTAGACCTTTCATATTGGTGTAAAGGAAGTTTAATAATTAGAGATGGCTGAAAGAAAACCTGATTACGCCTTCCCTGCCGATGTCAGGTTAACTACTCCCTCATCTATTGTACTTTTGTCCGGGACCTACGCCCACGGTTTCCTTTCTCAGCTCTGGTCATTTGTGACATAAAAAGAAGTATTATTTATTTTCATATAAACTATTTAATATTAATAGGGATGAAGTGCAAATAGTAACTTGGGTTCGATCTTTTTAGATTTTGATAAATAGTTAAATTTAAAATATACAAAAAATGACCCAAAAAATTTATTTGTTGTAAATATGAAAAGGTTTACAAGTAAAGCAATGGTTTTATCAAGGATATGAGACGGACCACACAAACACAAACTATTGTTTTGAGTCGTTTTGGTTTTTAAAATTTAAAATACATTGATAATTCAGATTTGGTAATCAGAATATGGTCATAAAGATTATCTTCTGTAATCAATCGAGCATTATTCGCATACATGTGCTTATAATTTCTTAGCACATACTTTTTTATGTCCTTTTTTCCAAGCCTCTTTCTGGCATGCTTGTGAGCAGTACCAGGCCCTCCCACATCTACCACAATGCGGAAACGATGTGGGGGCTCTCAACCCCGCTCTGTTACCAGCCATCATTTCACCAGTTAAGCTCTCATTAATATTATGGGATGTTTTGATATTGCCATCTCTATCGTCATGGCAACATGACCCACAATCCGTGTCTTGATTTATTCTAAGCGCGTTCGGTGACATCCCCTGATTATGTGACGTGCTTTCAACAGATGGTCCCGGATGTGTAACTCTAGACTCATCTCTGCTTTGTTTGATCACAAACGAATCGTTGTTCGCATTGCGTAACGTTGAATATGTACAGACTTGCTCCGATCTATGATCTCCTTGTTCGGGGATCTCGGCCGTGCAAGCAGAGAACATGCTATCACCGAATGCTAGACGGGTCATTTGTGTTTTTATAACCTCGCTATTTGCACTCAGGTTCATTTCCTGCGGGTCCTCACTGGTCAGCAGAGATGACGCAACTACAGCAGTCATTTTTGGAGAGTCTTTGACTCTATTAGTAATCAGTGCTGTTGCTGAAGGTGTCGCAATGGTAGAATGTCTGTCGGGGATTTTTGGTGTGTCGGTGGTAGAAAGTGTCGAATTGTTAAAAGTTGTTGCTGTTGCTAACGGTGCTGCTGTTGAAGAAAGTGTCGATGTTGTAGAATCTGTCTCGGATGCAGATGATATCATGGTTGTAGTGGGTGTCATGTTTGCAGTAGCTGTTGTAGTAGGGTTCGCTATTGTAGAAGGTGTCGAGGTTGTAGACTGTTTCACGGTTGTAGAGGATGTCCCTGTTGAAGTTGGTGTCACGTTTCCCGCAGCTGGCACTATCGCGACAGGTGTTCCTTTTGTAGAGAATGGAATCAACTGGGGTTTATTGGAGCGAGACAGGCAGCTCGATTCGTAAACAGGGGCGTCCTTATTAAGAACAAGTGTTGATGAAATATTAGGACCGTCGTCTGCCTTCTTCCCACAGTGGGTGCACACCTCAGGCCCGTCACCCTCGTAGAGGCACCGTGGGCACTGACACAGAAATGCATATCTGCTGTAAACACACATAAAAGAGCACTGTTTAAAGTTTTCAATTTATTACAATGATAAAATACGTATAAATGTTACAGCAAGGTTAATGAATAAATTTAATAAAATTACTTTATAGAACCTTAATAATGGACTCTTTCAGTCCAACATTGGTTAAGTATAGGGCACTATACCAATGTTGGACTGAAAGAGTCCATTATTAAGGTTCTATAAAGTAATTTTATTAAATTTATTCATTAACCTTGCTGTAACATTTATATTTTTGTTAATTGTATTTGTATATTACTTTCAGCTAATTTGGGGCCGTGTTAAATTTTAAAGGATGGCGCTGTCAAATGTTAAGTCTGCCTAGTATGTCAGTGCCGCATGGGGCAAGTACAAAATATGCTGCCTCCACCACAGAATACATTTTGCATTTATTTGTTCGAAAATGCCGCCACTCTATATAAAGAAAAAAATTGCTACCCAGGGCGGACCGCCCCCTCCACGCCACCTTTCTATGACACTAAGAAACGCTATCCGTAGGGATTATCGTGGGAACGTGATAATCCTGAAAACGAATTCATGGCTTAAAAATTAAAATAAATCAAGCATAAATAGGACATGACTGGCATACATAATAAAAGATATGGCCTAAAATACGTGTAGAGGAAACAAAATTTGAAGTAGAGACCGACCGAATTTTGGCTTCGGTTGCGGTTTTGGCACCGAAAGTGGCCATTGATCACTTCGGCCTAATTTCGGTTTTGACCGAAACCGAAAAGTTAAATTTCGGCTTAACTTCGGCTTCGACCGAAACTGAAATGTTAACTTTAGGTTTAATTTCGGTTTCGGCCGAAAGTGATTGGGAGTTTAGGCCATGTGGCCGAAAGTGACTGGACCAGAGGTGAGACTGTCTGTCTCTAGGCAGGCAATCCGATATTCATTATTGCTCGACGTCTTGCCTTCATCGTATGTTATAAGAAAACTGTGAAAACTGCTCACAGCTGCATGATGACCTTTGACTAATGCTCTGTGAAAACTGCTCACAGCTGCATGATGACCTTTGACTAATGCTCTGTGAAAACTGCTCACAGCTGCATGATGACCTTTGACTAATGCTCTGTGAAAACTGCTCACAGCTGCATGATGACCTTTGACTAATGCTCTGTGAAAACTGCTCACAGCTGCATGATGACCTTTGACTAATGCTCTGTGAAAACTGCTCACAGCTGCATGATGACCTTTGACTAATGCTCTGTGAAAACTGTTCACAGCTGCATGATGACCTTTGACTAATGCTCTGTGAAAACTGTTCACAGCTGCATGATGACCTTTGACTAATGCCCTGTGAAAACTGCTCACAGCTGCATGATGACCTTTGACTTCTAGAGGAAATGTTAACATTTTATATCATTTTTTTGTTTTCATTTTTGTCCACACTAAAATTTGGAGGCCAACTTTATTCAATGTCTTCATTTGTCATCTCCATTTTGCTGTATCACTGTCATGCTCATCAAATTTTACATTAAAATAGTAAAAGCCAAAGTATTCATTAAATGTGTATTTAATAATATTCACGATGATCTCATTAAAAAAAAAAAGAATGTAAATATTGATACTTCCCCCATCAATTTTTTGATGTATCTAGAACGTATGCGTTGAGGAATTTCAAAATACCTAAATATTTATTATTTCAGTTTCGGCTTCGGTTCGGTTGAAACCGAAAATTTAAATACCGGTTAAATTTTGGCTTCGGCCAAAAGTCATTTTTAAATTTCGGCCTTCAGCCGAAAATCTCTTTCAGGTCGGTCTCTAATTTAAAGGAAAAACAATATTTGTGTATGGGAAGCGTTATACCCAGTCGGCTGGGAATTTAGCCAAATAAGGTTATCAATCGCTTGTTTGGCAATTTCAACAAAAGTATTATGCCTAATGAGCTGCATGATGGATTGTTTTGTACTAGAACTTTGCATGTGTTTAACGTAAAATTTTAATTGAATTAATTTTAATTAATATTGAAATTGATTATAACAATAGTATTAGTATTAGTGCTATTATTAGTATTATTGCTTGTATCTTATATATTATAATTATAATTATAAGTATAAGTCAAAGTCTACATTTCTGAGAGTCTAAGCCTAAGTCTTAGATTTTTTTTAGACCATGGTCTAAGTCTAGTATGGATTTTGATTGATTAGGTTTTTATATGTTGCTATGACTATGTGGCTGGTTTTACTGACTAATTCAGGAAATACGTTCTATTTATCTTTTTTTAAATTGTAGCATTTATGATTTTATTTTTTTGTTGACCTAAATGTAACAGTTTTCAGCTTCCATGCAAAACTATAACTGTGTGAAAGTATTACTTACACTGACCCCTCTACAGAACCCCTGCCCCTACAGCGATTTTTTTCCTGCTACTCTCAACCCATGATTATTTTTATTACTGTACCAGTGAAACATGATTTTATCTGCCACAAAATTAGTTAACAACACAAACATATATTTGATAATTATAAGTATAACATTATTAACATTACATTGGTAAAGTTCTTCCAAGTTTTCCCCAGGATGGCTTGCGCTAGACTTGGGGAAACTCACACCACTTTGCTCGAGGTGGTGTGCAAGTGATCTGCCTCTTCGTGGCGTGGAAGACTAGTATAGGGCATGCTCCCTGAAGCCAAAAGATCACATGTCCCTATCCGAAGACCCACTGAGCTAGGGGGGGGGGGTAACGCAAAGCCCCCCTCCACTGGGAGGAAGATATTTTGCTCAAACCCAAATTACATTGGTCAATAATTCTTCTCATGTTTTAACATTTTTTAGCCAAAAAAAAAGTCAAACAATAAGCCTAGTTGTTGCTTCATTCTCGAGAAAAAGCATAGCAACCAACGCACATTCATGGCTTGCCGTTGGCTGGAATTGAACTCCAGACCATCAACTTGAGGTTTGGTCAGTTTAGACCATTCGACCACACAGTCACCCCGATGTCACGGCACCCTTATTGATTGATAGTGTAACACAGGAAGAATCTAGACGTCATGTGACTTGCCGACTGCGTATAACTCTCAGGGTTCTACTCAGTCGGCTGCCCATAACCACTTCGTTTGTGTATTGAGGAGGGACTGATAACATTAAAAGTAATGTTAAACATTTTAAAAGAAAATCTTTTACCTAACACAGATGCGGTCATGCGCGAACATTCGCTTGTTATCATATGGAAAATTCCAACTCGTACCTTCGTGCCAGGATGCTCCTACCCCCCCCCCCCCAACCCCGCCCAATACACACATACATTTTTATTCGCATGCATACGCCTTTTAAAATATGCTCAAACTGGAACATTTTTAAAAAAAAATCTTTTACCTAACCCAGATGCGGTCATGCCCGAACATTCGCTTGTTATCATAAGGAAAATTCCCACCCGTACCTTCGTGCCAGGATGCTCCTACCCCCCCCCCCAACCCCGCCCAATACACACATACATTTTTATTCGCATGCATACGCCTTTTAAAATATGCTCAAACTGGAACATGACTAATTTAAACTGTACCTCCACAATTTCTTTCTCCTCTCCGCCTTCTTCAGACCGGTATCCACATATGCCACTGTTATCTCTTCACCAGCTTCAATCTCTTTGGTGGCCATGACACGTATGCCTGGCTTCCCGTCCAATACGCCACTCAATATCTTGGCATTGGGGAAACATGAGTGATTAATCGTGGACGCCAAGGGAAATAAGCCATGGAATTCGGCTCTCGGTAGCGGCTCTTGGAAAAACTGGCCAATCTTCTTGTTCCTCTTCGGATCTTGTCGCATCTTGTCGACAAAACCATGCAGTGCGTCGGTGACGTCATGGAACTCGATGAAGTTTGTCTGTACTTGCTGATGTCTTTTGTTGAAGTCTTCCGCGGTGACATCATAACGCAGAACTTTGGACCGTTTGAAAATATTAACCATGAGCTCAAACATTTTGGGAATAGTCTCTTGGGCAGAAACACTGCCCCCAGCACTGGAATACCTGCGGGATTAGAATACGCTCTTTGAATTATGTCCTGAGAATAAAAGCTACATGCATTTTTTGGCGTTTGACAAAGTAAGGTAACCAACTGATAACAAACATGCCCCGTTCCAGGATTCAACAGTGACGTCTGGTAATCTTACATATTTACTTTTCAAACTGGGATGCAGCTTTGACCCAATCAGTTTTAGAGGGTTGACCGGTCCCAGTGGCTGCCAGCTTTGCCGTAGAGATTATTGTGGCCCATAACTTGGACAGCAGAGTGGGACTGAACTCGGCATTCCACCAACCCTGCCACGAGGAGCCGTCCGTCGGCATGACGTCACGGAACGACTTCCTAACATCATATAACATGGCTACCGTGGAATTGGGGACTGTAGGGCAGATCACCTTGTGGTATCTGAAATAATTTGAACAGCTATAGGTAAAAGTATTTTTCGTTTAAAATAATTGCATATGAATGAAGTACAGCAAGAAACTTGACCCCCACTATTTGCTTACAAACCTGCCAGAATCACGGATGATGCTATCTTACTATTGTTGGAGAGACTTTACCATCACCTAGACAGCAATTCTTAGACTTCTCATCAACATTTAACACTATCCAACCACACCTTATGATAAAGAAACTTTCCTCGTTAGATGTCAATTAAAATATTCAAGCTTGGATACTAAAACTTTTTAACAAATCGACCACAATATGTCAAAGTAAATAACCAAGTATCTCTAACCAGAGAGATAAGGCTGCGTTCTCTCTCCTGTACCTCATACAATATCTGACAATGATATTCAGAGCTCAAGCGAAACCGTTCCAATCTTAAAATTTGCTTATGATACACCATCGTTGGCTTAATATCTGATGGAGAAGGCTTACACCGCAACTTAGTTACAAGATTTATCAATTGGTGCGATGAAAATTTTCTCCAGCTGAATGTCTCAAAAACAAAGGAAATGGTTGTTGATTTCAGGAGGGGGAAACATCAGATTACAGATCTCAACATAAATAATCAAAATGTAAGGAAAGTAGAGGCATATAAGTTCTTAGGTTTCACCATTAATAATAAGCTAATATGGCATGAGCACGGCCAATGGATGTATAAGAAATTCAACCAAAGACTGTTCTATCGCAAAAAAGAAACAAAAAACCAACACAAAAAAAAACCCGTACAATTTCGGCGTAAACCAACAAGTCGTTAACTTATTCTACAGTGCAACAATTGGAAGCCTACTTGATTTCAATATTACCTGCAGGTGTGGAATTTATCGTCTGATATTAAAAACCGAATAAACAGACTAATCAAGAAAGCTAGGAATATAACACAAACTAGACATCCTGCACTTGAAGAACTATTTGCAGAAAGATGTTATTGTAAAAGTAAACAAATTTTGGATGATACATCCCACCCTCTTCATCACAGATACTTAGGATCGACCTGTTCGGGACGAATTCTTTCTCTCATGGTGAGGACTGAAAGATATTTAAAAAAAAGTTGTTCCCCAATCTGTACGAATTGACCAGCATGTTCCCCCAGAAGTAACAAATCTCAATGAGAACTAATAAGTCCCTGTTATGGCTAAGAGAATTCATTGAATGGCTGCTTTTTTAACTCGTGTAATAATGATAGATAGATGATTGTGTTCAAATTGTTTTATTTATGGGCTGAAAATATGCAATGCAATCAAAAGAAATTTCCATTTATTTGGATCAATAAAAGAATCTTATCTTATCTTATCTTATCTTATCTTATCTTATCTTATCTTATACTTTTTTTTTTTAATAAAGCGAGGAAAGTAATAAGCGTCAGTTAAATGTGAATTTGGTTTAGGAAGCTTTCGAAATAGGAAGTTGAAGCAAATCAAATTTGATATCTTTCCCAAGTTTAAAGGAAATTTTGTAAAAGTTCACGTTTATACCTTTAGCATTCCCCTGCACATGAGGAAAATAACAGCGATGTGCTGTGTGTAAATAATACTGGAAATAACAGGCAATGAGTTGACTTTGCATTCACCTTTGCCATGCTGCGTCACGACACGTGTCATTGCAGTAGACAACCCTGTCGCAGGTTTTGCACGGGGTGGACTTCCTTTTCGGCCAGAATTTTTTGAACGCCCTCTGCAGATCTGCTATGGCCAGGTGACCTTTTGAGAAAACGTCTTCCGGTTTGACGAGAGAGAGGCCACAGTGTGCGCACGCAGTGATGCTGTCCGATGCCATGTTCTGCTCGATCAGCTCCGGCAGCTCGGCGAATAGCAGTTGGCCCTTGAGGACTGTCTTGGTGGGGGCCAGACCACGGCCACTGCCGGTTATAAACACACGGACAGGGGCTTCCTGTGGACATTCATACATGAGTAACCCATTTAAGATTGTATCAACTGATAAAAGTGACACGTTTCATGATGAAATAAATAACATTAGGAATTCAAACCAATACATAATAGTTTTGGAGAGCTATAATGGGATCCCAGTTGTGCGCAACGTCTATTGAGTAGTTGTTTCTTACGCGTTATTCGAATTATATTTGAAATGATATCACATATAAATCATTTCCTTGCATTCGAAACCGCAAAACGGTTGTTCTGCACCTTATAGGGGCTATTTGCCAAACAAAAATTTAGCATCACTCTATTAAAAAAAAAAAAAAAACGAAAGAGAAAAAAATGATATTTTTACCTTAACATACGGAAGATAGACCCGTTGTGTGTGTATTTCCTGCAGGAGCTTGTACGCGGTCTGGACCCATTTGTCTCGGCTGATGTCCCCAGAAGCTGATAACACAATCGTTTTCAACCATTCCTCAGAAGTTATAACCAGACCCAATTTCTCTAGCGCCTTAGCTTGGGTCATTTAAAGAAAAAAATAAAGAAAGAAAGGGCATGGGGTGAGAAATAAAATAAATCACGTTATAATTATTTTTTAATTTACTTTTGTAACGCTTAATTTTTTAGCATGCGCCCTGGTTGTAGTGATTGTTTTGTTTTCATGCCCCTGCGATGTTCGCCAGATGGACATGTAACAACTGATTGATGATTTCATGCCCCTGCGATGTTCGCCAGATGGACATGTAACAACTGATTGATGATTTCATGCCCCTGCGATGTTCGCCAGATGGACATGTAACAACTGATTGATGAGGATTACGTTTTTATTTGAGATACGGAGATCAATTAGGAATTTTGATTGACATTTTCCGATCCAATATATACCATGTATTCCTGAAACTCTTTTCATCAATTTTTATTCACCACCATTAAAATAAATAAATAATGCTTTCGTAAGTAATCAGATACCTCCCTCTATGTAGAGTTCAAAGCTGCGTTCCGCTTCCTGCACATGGACAATGGATTTCAAAGTTTCCAGATGGTCCTCCACAGCATTCATGACCTTTGCCCTCAAAGTCCACAACCTCGCGTCGACTGACTGGTCTCTAGACTCAAAGGCGTAATCCAAGTAAATCAAAGCGTCACAGAACTGACCCTTTAGGTAGCAATCGTGAGCGTTGTTGTAATTGGTATCTTTCAAGGAAACCGAAATAATATTGGTTCCACTAAAGCTGTATAAGTCATTACCACTTCCAGACTCGTACCAACTTAGTAATTCAGTGTCAGCTTTTGGGTCGATTGCAATGTTATGAGAGCCCGCTCCGCTGATTCTTGCACGGTCCGAGAAGGAACGCAGGGCGTTGTAGAGCCCCCATTTTTTTAGAACCTCGTTCTCCAGAGACAATTCTACGTCATCGTCGCGGAGACCACACACCAACGTGCTGAGTGACGTCATCTTGACGGCGTCTTGTGCACGAAATTTTATTTTACGAAACAACACAGCACGTGACACATGAAGTTTTTTTTAAAAATCATCTGAATATGTACCATGTTGCAGTTACAACAATGAAGCGAAATTTTTTACCATTATCTGAGCGTGTTACAACCCAAATAATGTCAAAGTAATATTATTCTTATCTTTATACATGATGCTTTAGAGAAAAAAACAACACAAAATCAACTTCACTCCTACTTGTAGAAAACCCAGTGTTGCTTTCGTTCGATGAAGTTTAATCCTACTGAGCGTATGCATTTTACCTTTGCACACCTGTGAAATCTTACCTGAACTTGTATACACACAGGTACCGTAGCAACTCTATTAGAAAACGATCTTTAAAAGAAAAAGAAGTTTGTAAGAATAGATAGAGAAATAGATGAGAAACCCAGTTTAGGATGCCCACCCCACGAAGTTAGAGGGCAGCAACATGACCCTAAAACGCCTAACCTTGATAAAATCAAAACTAGCCAATGGCAATGTTATTGCTGACACCTATTTGCTGGGTTTTGCTAGAATCAAAATGTGATTACTTAAACGAGACTGTAATTTAAAAAATTGTCATAAGTGCACTACCCCCTCCCCTTTTTCAGTTTTTCATCTAATAACAATGAGAGCACCAGCATCCCGTGTGCCGTGTAAGTTGAAAGAGCTCTGAGTTTTACAGTATACATCAACGCTACGGGTAAGGTGGTAGGTTATACCCTGCTCTACAGCTACAACGATGTTGTGTCATGAGTGTGAACGCACACGCGCGTGTTACCTGTTGCGCGTGCTACACACGTGGGAGGAACAGCTGAAAACGCGAGGCTCCATTAATCTCTGATACACGCAATAGTGTACTATGTGGGGGGGGGGTTAGGAAAACGAACACATCTCTAGCAGATAGATAGTAGGCCTACTTACCTTATAAGGAGCTGAACAAATATCTTGCAGATAAGGGACCAAAGACTTTCTGTCATATAAAAAGTGCTAATCTCATAAACAAGGGAACGAACGCGTATCAGGCATATGGAATAGGTACCGACCGAAGTGATTTCTGACAAAAACTAGGCCGAAATTTAAATATGACTTTCGGCCGAAACCGGAACAAGAACCGAAATATTTAGGTATTTTGAAATTCGTCCGAGCATATATTCTGCATACATCAAAAAAAGATGGGCGAAAGTATCAATATTTGTATTCTTTGTTTTAAAAATGAGATCATCGTGAATATTAAAAAATAAACATTTAATGAATACTTTAGCGTTTACTATTTTAATTTAAAAGTAATTTAAATATATTTAGAATGTTTTTAAGTAGTATGGTAAGAGAAAATTTGGACGAGGGTGGGGCTAAATTCATACAAAATAGACACCTGAGTGCCCTTTACTTTTATAATATAATTACATTCCAGACCATACACCTATAACAATTATTGTGGCTCTAATAAAGCCAATAGTCAACTAAATACCAGTTATTAAGTCTATAGAAATATCACAATAGTTCGCGGTTTTCGTCCTACTAATGCTTTGTGTTTTCATTAATAGCTGGCAAGATAGCGCTGTATTACTATTTAGCCTACTCGTCTTTCCGTTCTGGTGACGTAATTATTTCGTTCGGTGACCAACCTTCCTGACCTCCCTTGCTGGGGGAAATTATACTTTTTCAACAGGGTCTCTTAAAATAGTTCTTTTCACGTGTCTCGAAGGACAAAAGTAATCTAAATTGGTCGCCTAAATCAAAAAAATGAACAGGTCAGCAGTATGCTTACTACGTACTTACAACACATTCTTACTACGTAATTACAACAGATTCTTACTACGTACTTACAACACATTCTTACTACGTACTTACAACACAAGCCAATGATACATGCACACGCTTGTTATTTTGTCAATAAAAATGTTTATGGGCATGATAATAATGAATTTCACTCTGGACTTGCATCACTCTGGACTTGCATCATTCTAGACTTGTATCATTCTAAACTTGCATCATTCTAGACTTGCATCATTCTAGACTTGCATGATCCTAGACTTGCATCATTCTAGACTTGCATCATTCTAGACTTGAATCACTTTAGACTTGCATCACTCTAGACTTGCATCACTCTAGACTTTCATCATTCTAGACTTGTATCATTCTAAACTTGCATCATTCTAGACTTGCATCATTCTAGACTTGCATGATCCTAGACTTGCATCATTCTAGACTTGCATCATTCTAGACTTGAATCACTTTAGACTTGCATCACTCTAGACTTGCATACCTCTAGACTTGCATCATTCTAGACTTGCATTATTCTAGACTTGCATCATTCTAGACTTTAGACTTAAATCAGTCTAGACTGTAGATTTGCATCATTCTAGACTTTCGATTTAAATCAGTCTAGACTTTAGACTTGCATCATTCTAGACTTGCATCATTCTAGACTTAGATCACTGTAGACTTTCATCATTCTAGACTTGCATCATTCTAGACTTGCATCATTCTAGACTTGCATCATTCTAGACTTGCATCACTCTAGACTTGCATCATTCTAGACTTTAGAATTGCATCATTCTAGACTTTAGACTTGCATCATTCTAGACTTGCATCATTCTAGACTTTAGACTTGCTTCATTCTAGACTTGCATTATTATAGACTTGCATCACTCTAGACTTGTATCACTCTAGACCTACTTCTCTCTAGATTTGCATCACTCTAGACTTGCATCATTCTAGACTTGCATCATAGTATACTTGCATCATTCTACACTTGCATCATTCTAGAATTGCATCACTCCAGACTTGCATCACGCTAAACTTTCATCGCTCTAGACTTACATCAATCTAAACCTGCATCACTCTAGACTTGCATCAATCTAGACCTGCATCACTCTAGACTTGCATCATTCTAGACTTGCAAAATTCTAGACTTGCATCATTCTAGACTTGAATCACTCTAGCCCTGCATCACTCTAGACTTGCATTATTCTACAATTGCATCACTCTAGACTTGCATCACTCTAGACTTGCATGACTCTAGACTTGCATGACCCTAAACTTGAATCACTCTAGACTTGCATCATTCTAGGCGTTAGACTTGTATCATTCTAGATTTGCATCACTCTAGACTTTTATCACTCTATATTGGCATCATTCTAGATTGGAATCATTCTAGACTTGCATCAGTCTAGACCTGCATCACTCTAGACCTGCATCATTCTAGACTTGCCCCATTCTAGACTTGCATCACTCTAGACTTGCATCATTCTAGACTTGCATAATTCTAGACTTGCATCACTCTAGACTTTCATCACCCTAGATTTGCATTATTCTAGATTGTTATCATTCTAGACTTGCATCAGTCCAGACCTGAATCACTCTAGACCTGCATCATTCTAGACTTTCCCGACTCTAGACCTGCATCACTCTAGACTTGCATCACTCTAGACTTGCATCATTCTAGACTTGCATCACTCCAGACTTGCATCATTCTATATTTGCATCATTCTAAACTTGCATCACTCTAGACTTGCATCACACTTGAATTGCATAACTCTAAACGTGCATCACTTTAGACTTGCATCACTCTAGACTTGGATCACTCTAGACTTGCTTCACTCTAGACTGCATCACTCTAGACTTGCATCACTCTAGACTTGCATCACACTAGAATTGCATTATTCTAAACTTACATCACATTAGACTTTCATCACTCTACACTTGCATTATTCTAGACTTTAGACTTGTATCATTCTAGATTTGCATCATTCTAGACTTGCTTCATTCTAGACTTGCATCATTATAGACTTGCATCACTCTAGACTTGCATCATTCTAGACTTGCATCATTCTAGACTTGCATCACTCTAGACATACATCATTCTAGACTTGCATCATTCTAGACTTGCATCACTTTAGACTTGCATCATTCTAGACTTGCAGCATTCAAGACTTGCATTATTCTAGAATTGAATCACTCTTGAATTTGCATCACTCTACTTAAATCATTCTAGATGTGCATCATTTTAGATTTGCATTTTTCTAGACTTGAATCACACTAGACTTGCATAACTGTAGACTTGCATCATTGTTTACTTGCATCATTCTAGACTTGCATGATTCTAGATTTGCATCATTCTAAACTTGCATCACTCTAGACTTGCATAACTCTAGACTGCATCATTCTAGACTTGCATGACTCTAGACTTGCATCACACTAGAATTGCATTATTCTAAACTTGCATCACTCTAGACTTGCATCATTCTATATTTTCATCATTCTAGACTTGCATCACTCTAGACCAGCATCACTCTAGTCTGGCCTCATTCTAGACTTGCATCACTCTAGACTTGCATCACTTTCGACTTGCATCACTCTAGACTTGCATCACTCTAGAATTGCATCATACTAGACTTGCATACCTCTGGACTTGCATCACACTAGAATTGCATTATTCTAAACTTACATCAGTTTAGACTTTTATCACTCTAGACGTGCATCACTCTACACTTGCATTATTCTAGACTTTAGACTTGTATCATTCTAGATTTTCATCATTCAATACTTGCTTCATTCTAGACTTGCATTATTATAGACTTGCATCACTCTAGACTTGTATCACTCTAGACCTACTTCTCTCTAGATTTGCATCACTCTAGACTTGCATCATTCTAGACTTGCATCAGTGTATACTTGCATCATTCTAGACTTGCATCATTCTAGAATTGCATCATTCCAGACTTGCATCACGCTAAACTTGCATCACTCTAGACTTTCATCGCTCTAGACTTACAACAATCTAAACCTGCATCACTCTAGACTGGCATCAATCTAGACCTGCATCACTCTAGACTTGCATCATTCTAGACTTTCAAAATTCTAGACTTGCATCATTCTAGACTTGAATCAATCTAGCCCTGCATCACTCTAGACTTGCATTATTCTACAATTGCATCACTCTAGACTTGCATCACTCTAGACTTGCATGACTCTAGACTTGCATGACCCTAAACTTGAATCACTCTAGACTTGCATCATTCTAGGCGTTAGACTTGTATCATTCTAGATTTGCATCACTCTAGACTTTCATCACTCTATATTGGCATCATTTAGATTGGAATCATTCTAGACTTGCATCAGTCTAGACCTGAATCACTCTAGACCTGCATCATTCTAGACTTGCCCCATTCTAGACTTGCATCACTCTAGACTTGCATCATTCTAGACTTGCATAATTCTAGACTTGCATCACTCTAGACTTTCATCACTCTAGA